CGCGACCCGGTCCCCGGCCGGGCGGGGCGCACAGACTCCTCCTGAAGGCCTCGAAGGACCCAGCAGTTAGCACACCCAAGAACCCCCGTCCATTGTTTCTTCTGAGGCCTTCGGCCGAGCAGTCAGCGAGGGCCCAGTGTGGCCTACCACACCTGCAAGGCTGAGGATGCAGCGGGGCTTAGGCCTCATGCAAACACCTTAGAACGAGACCACCGTTACAATAATACCCAGCAGCTCTACTTTTACGTAGAAACAATTTGACTCAACCCTGTTTGTAATTAAAGATTATTACTTCACTGGTTCTTAACTTGTGGGTCGGGAACCCTTGGCGCTGCATATCAAATATTTACTATTCATGGCAGTAGCAAAATCAGTTACAAAGTAGCAACGAAATAATTTTATGGTTGCAGGTCACCACAACATGAGGAATTGAATCAAAGGGTCTCGGCACTAGGAAAGTTGAGAACCGTTACAAGTTTAGCAGTTTTAGAAGGGTAGCTTGATAATATTCAGTACGGCCGCTTCAGAGGACATGCTACAAGAAATTGCGCCTGTATAACTCTCTCTGTGTTATCTGTGTGTGTGTGTAGGGTGGGTGTGTGTGTGGGTGTGTGTGTGTGTGTGTGTGAGAGAGAGAGAGAGAGAGAGAGAGAGAGAGAGAGAGAGAGGTTTTATTAGAAAGGGGAGGGAGGGAAAGGAAAGAGAAAAGAGGTAAAGATACAACGTGAGACCAGAAAAGAAGAGGGAGGCAAGAAAAGTCCTGTCTGCCCCAGGGGAACTGTGGGGAAGAGAGCTGGAAAGAGAGGAGCTGGAAAGACATGTTATCTCTTCTTACCACTACGTCTTAGACAAGTTTCTGAAAACTTAGTTTCCTGGAATTTTTTGAAAGGAACCTCCCCTTCCCTTGTTTTCTCTGTGTGCTTCTGGGTTCCCTGACTGCAAGGAAGAGAAAATGGATTTTATGGGAGTGGGGCTGGAAGGCCTTTCTGTCCCTGTCTAGATGACACCTTCCTGATCATTCCACCTGTCGCGTCCCTCAGCTGTCTTGCAGCACCTAATATCCCCAAAAACTTGCCAACAGGATAGATCTCAACACTACGTAATAACTACAGCTCTCCCCCAGTAGACAAGGAATGCTCAAGTCCCTTCCTTTGCATATAACCCACTCATAATACCCCAAAATACCGTAAATCTCTCTAGATTTCTAGTACAATGGAAAGGCTAATAGTTGCATTTTGGAGGATGACAAGAAAAGTGTGTACATGTTCAGAACAGATATGATTTTTTTCTTTCTCAATGTTTTTATCTCGGGTTGGGTGAATCATTAAATGTAGACCTGCAGGTACATGGGACGAAATGCCTCTTTATTTTTTTCTTTTTTTTTTTTTAAGGACAGTGTTACACTATGCAGTCGTAGCTGGTCTGGAACTTGCCATGTAGACCAGACCAGGCTATCCTTGAGCTCATACAGATCCACCTGAGACATGTGCCACTATACCTGGCTGATCTCAACTCTTTAGGCTAGTCTGGAACTGTTTAGTTCAGGCTGCCCTTGAACTGGAGGCGATCTCCCTGCCTCCGTTTGTAAATGTTGGGATTATAGGTGTGTACCACCATGCCTGGTTTACAGTGTGGATGTTTTGAGTATGTGATTCTCTTGTCTCTTGAACAGATTTCTCAGAGGATAAGCAGATGAGTAATAACAGGCCTCCCAACCCTTATTTTTTACTCCAGCTAGATACAGAGAAGACCTCATACCTCTACTCCACAGAGATCACACTGTGGACTGTGGTGGCAGCCATTCAGGCCTTGGAGAAGAAAGTAGATTCTTGCCTGGCCCGCTTGCTGACTCTGGAAGGACGCTCAGGGACGGCGGAGAAGAGGCTGGCTGACTGTGAGAAGACAGCTGTTGAGCTCAGCAGCCAGCTGGAGGGCAAGTGGGCTGTGCTGGGGACCCTGCTACCGGAGTATGGGTTGCTGCAGCGGCGGCTGGAGACCGTGGAGAACCTCATGCACAACCAGAACTTCTTGGTCTTGCGGCTTCCCCCTGGCAGCAAGAGCGAGTTCCCCAAGGTAGCCTTTGGGTGCCCTGAGGTGGGGGAGCCTGAGGACCTATGCCTGTAAATGCGTGAGTGAACAAGTGTGACACTGGTTTCAGGTGCCTATGACCTTTGATGACTTGGCTGTGTATTTCTCTGAATTGGAGTGGGCCACACTGGAGGACTGGCAGAAGGAGCTCTATAAACATGTGATGAGGGACAACTACGAGACACTGGTCTCCCTGGGTAAGGCTGCAGAGCAATACTTGGGCTTCCATCTAAGGATGTCTTCCTGCAGTCTTTGCCTTTGCTTTAGGCTGCCAGACCCAGACCTTTCCCCATGCCCTCCCCATTCTGTCTGCAGATTGTGCCATCTCTAAACCAGACATCCTCAACTGGATAGAGAGGGGAGAAGAGCCTTTTCCTGCAGGCCCCTGTGGCCAGGGGAGGGGGACTGAGGAGGAGGCAGCATGCCCAAGGAAACCAAACACTGGTAAGTATTGGCTTGTATTGGAAGCTGCTGTTATACATATGAGATCCTGTCTCAAAAAACAAAAAGAAGGGCAGTTGAGATGGCTCAACAGTGGTGAAAGGTCCTCGCCATTGTGGTGAAAGGTCCTCGCCATGTATGAACCTGATAATATAAGTTCCATCCCTAGAACCCACAGTGGAAGACAAACTCTATGAGTTCAAAGCCAGAACAGCCTAAGCTGTATAGTGAGACCCTGTCTTAAAAACAAAACAAAAGCAAGGGGCAGGGGGCACCCAAAATACCCTTCCCCGAGCTCTTGTTTTGTGTGGGACAGGCCGCTTAGGCTCATTTTGGAGCCTCCAGGTTGTAGGAACTCTTCTGGGAGACAGGCTGCAACAAACACCATGCATGGATCTAAGGTATGAAGAGGAGGATAGGTGTGGAGTAGAGTGGTCTCAAAAGAGTAGTTTGGAGGCTGGAGACATGGCACAGTTGTTAAGAGCGCTGGCTGCTCTTCCAGAGAAGCTGGGTTCAATTCTCAGCACCCACATGGCAGCTCATAACTGTCTAACTCCAGTTCCAGGGCATCTGGCATCCTGACACTGACATACACTCAGGCAAAACACCAACACACAAAATAAACAAATAAATGAACCTTTTTTCAAAGGAGTATTTAAGAACATCAGAGCTCCAAAGATGACATCTTCATTGTGTCTTTTCTGTTGTGCCAATGGGCTTCCTGGAACTACAGAAGGTAGCTTGAAGCCAGCAGTCACCCTGATGTCTGATGGACATTCCTTCTGGCCTTAGTCAGGTTCTTTTGTTTTTAATTTATTGTTTATATTTGTTTTACTTTTTGTGTATGGATGTTTTGCCTGCCTGTATGTATGTGTACCATGTGCATGCACTATCCACAGAGTACAGAAGAGGACATCTGACCCATAGTACTGAAGTTACATCCCATTATCAGCCAGGTTCGAGGTCCAGCTGTCAAGTCCTGTCTGGCACTCTCAGTTAAATTACATTTTGTGCAGAGTCCTTGTGGACAGAGAGGCTTTAGATATAGCTCAGCATAGTGGTAGACACCTTTAATCCCAGCAGATAGAGGCAGAGGCAAAGGCAGGTGGATTTCTTGAGTTCACTGTCAGCATGGTCTACATACTGCATTCCAAGATAGCCAGGGCTATGTAAAGAGACTGTCTCAAAATAACAAAATAACAACAAGACGAGGCTTTACACAAGAACTGAGCTGTGGGGCAGTGGCATGGCCATGGTCTTCACACCCTGTCCTCAATCTGAAAGCCCAGAGTCACTGGCCATCTGCCTAGGTATTGTTTCAGTGACATTGATTTGTGTTTCTAGGAATTCCTCTGAGTCCAGAGCATGCCCCAAGTCAATCTAGGCCTGCCCAGATGGAGCCAAAAGAAAGGCAGGCACCTGAGCAGCAGCAGCAGCACAAGGAATCAAGAGTTACTCTACCTGAGCCTGGCACTGGTGAGTGAGGACAGCTGGACAGCAACACTGATGTCGTCCTCAGCATATGAAATTAGCCAAATATTGAACTGTGTTGCATAGGCTCTTGGGAGATGGGCCTCTAAGATGGGCCTTGGAGAGGTAGGTTTCATCTCTTCAGATGTTTGAATAGCACTGTGGGGACCTGGGCACATCTGACTGTCTGGGCCTACATGGTATTGGGGATGTGGCCTTCATAGCGCTGTTCCTATCTCAGAAGCCCTCCAGACGGAAGCCTAAAATCTCTTCTTCCTGGCAGGACCTTAAGCATGTCCAGGACCTGCTGGGGAAATGAGTATATCTCCTGTGATACTTGTGTCAGGAATGGCCCTCATCTGATTCTCCCTCTCACAGGGATTCCCGCAAGCACCAACACTTCACCAATTAAACAGGAAGAAGAATCTTCAGAGGGAGAATTGCCACCCTCCCCTCCCACAGACAGCCTGCCTTCTGTAGGGCCAGGTGAGTGAAAGGAGACACATGTGGCATAGCAGAGCCTCATAAAAGCTCAGAGGGCCATTTGGGAGTAGCAGTTAGCCTGTGGTCAACTGGCCTAATGGAAATTCTGCGTGAGGACATGCTGCATGTTTGGGCTATGGTCTGCTCCAGTCCCACAGTAACTCTGTGAGGTGGCCTACCTAGATGCATAGCCTGTAGCATCTGGCATTTTACCTGTTGACCTACATAAGTCCTTCACCTGAAGTCCATGTTTTTCTGATAGGGCTGAATGACAAGACCCTTTATTCTCTGCACCTGGGGACTACTATCCTTACTTCAGCCTGTGCTCTTCATGACTCTGTCCCTGAGGTTGTATTGTCTTAGTTCCACTCTTGTATCAGGTGAGACCTGCACTGAGACCCTACAGGCTTTATTTATTTATTTATTTATTTATTTATTTATTTATTTACTTATTTATTTGAGATGGGGTGGCTGGCTTTAAAATCACTGTGTAGCCAAGGCTTATCTGTAGCAATTCTCCCATCTCAGCCTCCTGAGTGCTGGGATTACAGCTACACATGACCCACAAGGCCTCGTAATCATGGTCTGGAAGCAGTTGAGGCCCATGGGCTCCTTGTCCTTCTTTGATTGTAAATATTATCATCACAACACTAGGGCCTTGGTAGCACCATTGCCATGGCTTGAGTGTCACCCCCACTACAGTCCCACCCATCTATTTCTCAGAATCAAATCCTGGACAACAGGGTCCCCGACTCTTGTTGGCTTCTGAAGCTTTCTCCCTTCTCTGCTGTTCTTCTAGAAATGAACATAAGACAACAAAGTTGAATAATTCATGAGGCAGTGCCTGCCCCATGGTGTCTGTGAATGGTACCCCTAATCTGCTCTCGTACCACTCAGAGAAACTGGGGAAGGGAGAAGAGGTCTGAACCTGGAGCCATGTGGTCCTCTTGGAACTAGTCATGATTCCTTTGCCAGGTGGTGGTGCTGTGGCCATCAAGACAGAAGCCCAGTCTGAGGATGAACCTGAGCAACACCTTCCGGAGTCCCCAAACCAGTCCATGTATAGAGTCCACAAAAGGCCCAGGAACAAGACTGGAGGCCCCAGATGGGATCATGCCCAGGAAGTGTCTAGGGTACAGATTAGGGAGCCCCAGGCAGCAGAGGCTGTGGAAGAGCCACCCCGTATTCTTCCTCGACAACGGCAGCAGGCATTCCCGTGCCCTGACTGTGGGCAGGCCTTCCGCTTGAAGATTAATCTGACAATCCATCAGCGCACCCATGCAGAAGAGGAGGAACACACGGACGAGGTTTGGAGTGGCTTGGCTGTTGGGTCAGGGGACAGCCACTCCACACTGGAACCAGGGGAGGTGGTGGTGCCTGGCCCTGTCATCCACTGGCTACCTGGGGATCCCACAAGCCACCGTTCCCTGGCAAGCAATGCTTTCATGGGACAAAGGTCAGCAGCTAAGGTATACCACTGTAGTGAATGCCTGCGCTCCTTCCAGCGACGAAAGACCCTGATACTTCACCAGCGTCAGCACACAGGCAACAGGCAAGGCTGGCCTGCCTGTCCCTACTGTGGCAAGGCCTTCCGCCGGCCTTCTGACCTCTTTCGTCACCAGCGTATCCACACTGGTGAGCGTCCATATCAGTGCCCCAAGTGTGACCGAACCTTCAACAGGAACCACCACCTGACTGTCCACATGCAGACCCACCCCTGAGGCCAGGCTAGCCTGCATTTCCTCCTGTCTGCTGTCCCCTTGGGGAGCCCAGTGCTGCAGGGTCTCAGCCCTGAAGAGGAAGGCTGACCAGAGGAGCCTGCCATGGCACTGTCTGGCACTCCTGAGTGCCCTGGCAGGATCTGCATTCTCAGAGTCTTTCCCTTGTGCCTGACCTGACACTGGTCCCTCATTCTGGCATGACTTTGGAGAGTCTTACTGGTTTTGTTTTCCATTTAGATGGGGAGAAGTCACCCTTTTGGTGACTGTAGGTATGTGACAGGGTGTCGCCATCTCCTAATTCCTCTCTTTTGGACATTCCTGACTTGTGAAAGATTCCTTCAGATTTAAAGTGGGGTCTTGGGCTGGTACTTCAGTCAGTAGGAACAGATTTTTGTCTCTTCCAGAATGGGACAAGAGAGGCATGGAGGTTGGGGGGGATTTGAATGGATAAAATCTGCAGTCTACTTGAGAACAAAGAGTGCACAGATGGCTAAGGGAAGGCACTGGAAATTTGCATTGTAAAATGTTACTTAGTGCCAGGCGTTGGTGGCGCACGCCTTTAATTCCAGCACTCGGGAGGCAGAGACAGGCGGATCTCTGTGAGTTCAAGGCCAGACTGGTCTCCAGAGAGAATGCCAAGATAGGCTCCAAAACTACAGAGAAACCCTGTCTTGAAAAACCAAAAAAAAAAAAAAAAAAAAAAAAAAAATTATTTATTTTTTAGTGTTACTTTGAGATTTTTCTTGGAGATTCCAGACCTAAGAGACAGGAACTTCCTGCTGCCTCCTTCATGTCATGCTGACATGGTGGGAGGACCTACTTAGTGTAGACCTGTCTTGGGGATGGCTTGGCTGCTGTTCTCAAAGCCTAGAGTGGCTCACAGTCTTCCCTGCCTTTCCCTCACATGGCAGTCACATCAATTACTACTTTTATTAGGAGTTGTAAAGGAAATGGAAGCTAGGAATGGATCACTCTTTTCAGGTGTCAGGGTTGATATTGTGGTTGACCCATTGTGACAGACCTGCAAAAATGCATGAAGGAAATTATACAGGAAGCCCCTGCCTGGGGGACTCTGTGGCAGAATCTAGGGAATTCTTCAGCTCTCTCGAGCCTCATGGTTCTTGTCTGACAAGGAAAACAGGAAGTCACCTTAGAGTTGTCTGTGTCAAAAGAGGCACTAGACATATGCACCTAGCTTTCTCCTTCCTTTCAAGTCTGGGTATCTTCTCTTTGCTGACCTTGTGCTCTTCCCCCCCAGGCAGACTCCTTCAGGAAGGAGTCTCTTTTGCCAGGTGTCGGTTCCTTCAGGTTCTAGAAAGTAAGACTTTCTAGCTGAGCTGGTATTTTAGGGGCCTTCAAAAACACATGCTGAAGACACAGCGTCAGACTACATAGAGTCTTGAGGGTGGCTGGTTCATTGTGCCTTGTTGCCACACCGTGTCGAGTGCTGCCTAGACAGCTGTCCTGATAGTTTGCTCTCTTTTGACACTCAGACACCAGGGCACATTCAGGAGGATGCCTTCATCTGGCTGTGCTATTTCCTGATGTCCTTCAGACTCTTGCCTCTCAAAAGTCCTGAACAGATGAGGCAGAGGGTAGCACTGCCATCATTCCCTGGGGCAGGGGAGCAAGCCTGTGGCAGTTCAACCATGGTTCTGGATCCCATTTGCCTGCTCACCCAACTGTTGTCTAAGCCCTCTCAAGCAAGACAGCAGCTGTCAGTAAATGCTCAGACAGGATGTACACAGTGTATCTGTCTCAAGTATAATCCTCAGCTGCAAGAGCTGCCTGCTGCTGTTCTGGAGGTGCAGGGCTAAGGTTCCTAGGCCTATTTTCTAATGCTAAATGCTCCCTGGAAACAAGTACCCTACAAATACAAGTGCTAGGGTTGGGGAAAGCGGTGCTGTGTAACTTTATTTTATGGGCTTGAGTGACTGTATTTCCTCTACCTCCAGAATGCTAAGATTTGCTTGCCGGAGCCATCATGCCTAACTGGGCTTATTTTGTTCTGGAATTCAGTGGGACACGTTGAGGGGTGTTTTGAGTTAAAAATGAACGAAGGCACCTGCTTTTTTCAGGAACCCAGCGATGGCGTCCAGACCCTTCTGGCTTCCTCATTTTTAAAACAAAGAAATGGTTGGGCCATATGGCTCTAAGAACTCTGAAGGTGGCAATCTTAGCCTAATTGGTGCTCAATAAACACGTTGCTTAAACTATGTGTTCATGTAGCCTAGTTTGTACTGGGTAGTCTGAGCTGGTGACCCCAGTGGTTTTCTCCTCCCAACACAGGTGGAGTTCACAGACACCTGGCACTCACACCTGGAGGGCGGAGACTACGCGCCAGCGCACGCTGTGGGGCTGGTGCTTGGGCTCGCCAATGTAGTCTGGGCTCTGTGCCGCTAGGAGGCGGAGCCTCCAAAGCTAGCCAATGGGGAGCCTGCGTGCAGCCGGCGGGGCGGGAGCAGTGGACGAGCGTCTGAGACACTGCGGGATCACAACTGTGCTTACTCTGTCCCGAGGCTATTTGCCCCCGATTGCCTTCCGAGCCTGGTGCGTGTGAGCCTGGAAGGGCCGTCTGCAGGGAAGATTGCAGTGGCGATTGTGGGACGAGGCAGAATCGCGTGCAGCCATGACAGACGCGGCCGCTGCTCCGGTAAGGGTGGTCCGCACCGACCATGCGGGGATGTGAAAGGGCTCCTGAATTCGCCGGGAAGACATCTTACCACCTCTTGAAATTGGGTAGAACTCAAGCCAGGGTCTCAGGGAGGAGGAGTAGGACGCTTATGCCCACAGGATAAAGCCCTTGTCTCTTGTCCGGGTTTTGATGATTCGTAACACAAGCCAATTGAGGTTAACCAGGAAATGCATGGGCCCGATGCACCAGCTGTGGACGTTTTAACTCCACATGACTCCTTTTCCGGGGGGGGGGGTGGTCTCTCCGCCTCCCCTTGCAATTATTGGCCATTTCAGATCTATTCCCGAGCTAAGGCCCCTCCAGCTAACCCTCTTGGCCCCGGGAGCTATAATCTTGTCCCTACCTATGTATGGGCTTGATTTCGATTCCACTGAGGGTGGATGCATACATCCCTGCTATTTCCCAATAACCCACAGGAGGACTTTATTACTGCAGCTGGTGTGTGTGTGTGGGGGGTCGTTATAGAAGACATTGGTTAGGTGTTTTAGACTCAGGCTTGACCTATTGCGTTCCAACCCGAGTGATTGAACTGCTGAGATAATGTCTCTGAAGGTAGAGATTATCTGCTAGCGATAGCTTTGCAGTGACTTCAAAGACATTTCTAGGTGCCAGATTTGTGGCAAGGGTCACAGAGAAACGAAGATATTTGACCCTTATCTGTGGGACTGTTTGCCTCCTCCCAGCCATATTTTGCTGTATGGATGAGTGGTCAGACCCCAGGGTGGCTTGAGGGTGCTGCAATAGAAGGGAGGAAAGGATAGGTATCGGTGACAAGCATCTAATTGTGTGGGGCACTTCGCTATATCTTTTTATGGACGATGTCTTGACTAATTGCAGCTTTGGTGTATAATATATAGAACATTCTGGTCAGTGGTCTGAAACCTTCATGTTTATTAGTAATACAGTATAAGGGAATGCCATACACTGAGTGCCTTTTCATACCTGTAGCTTATTTCATCCTTCACCACCTAAGAGATAGGAAAGTCACAATGTCCTTGTAATTGAGAACACAGAGAGTGTATCTTTGCCTCAAACTGCTCAGAATTCAGTTCTGGAAGAGGCCCGTTCCAGGACTTATCTGCTGTCCCCACAGAGGAACTCCTTGCTCTTTGTCTTATTATTTATAGTTATGCATGATATATTGTCCATCTCCTTTAGACAGGGTATTCTTGGGGGTATTTCCTTTTGACTAAGATGCTGGCTTTCAGCTTTCTCTGGCCCCTGCTTACTGGCAGCTAGCCTTCCAGTGTAGTGACTGTTCAGGGGCTGGTTGATGAGGTGCCTCAGTCAGAGACCTTTGTCCAACTCAACACAAGTTGAAGTCGTCTGAGAGGAGGGAACCTCAACTGAGAAAATGCCTCCATTAGAAGAGGCTGTAGACAAGCCAGTAGGGCAGTTTCTTAACTAGTGTTTGTGTGGGAATGCACAGCCTATTGTGGGTGGGCCACATCTGGGCTAGTGGTCCTGAGTTCTCTGAGAAAGCAGGCTGAGAAAATCATAGGAACAAGCCGCTAAACAACACTCCTCAATGGCCTCTGCTTTAACTCCTGCCTCCAGGTTCCTGCCCATTTTGAGTTCCTGCCCTGACTTACTTCAGTGATACACTGTGAAGTAGAAGTGTAAGCAAAATAAACAGTTTCCTAGTCAAGTTGTTTTGGTCATGGTGTTTCACTGCAGCAGTAGAGCCCCTAACTAAGACACCTAGTATCTCAGGCAGGTCAGGAATCACACTGCATTAGATGAGTCTTGCAGTGCTCAGAGATCACTGAGGTCAGAACAGCTTCACTTTGGGGGGAGCTGCTGTAAGTGGATCTCTGAGTTCAAGGCCAGCCTGGTCTACAGATCAAGTTCTGGGACAGCTAAGGAGACATGAAAAAACCCTGGGTGGAGGTGGGGAGCTGAGATTGCTATTAGGTGTGCAGTTTTTGTGTCCTTTCTGTTGGCCTGTGTCCCCAGGGGAAGAAAAGGTAGCTAACTGATGGAACTAATGTAAGTAGAAGAGGTGTGTGGTTGGGGTTTTCTTTGGGCCACCAACCAGCTCCCAAATAAAGACATGGAGACTTATTGATTATGAATGTTTGACCTTAGCTTAGACTTTCCCACTAACTCTTTTAATTTAACTCGTTTCTATTCATCTATGTTTTGCTTCAGGGCTTTTACCTTTCATTCTGTATGCCCTACTTTCCTTCTTCCTCCATGTTTGGCTGGCCCCTGGCACCTCCCTGTGTCTTTTTTCTTTCTTCTCCCTGAGCCTACTTACTCTCCTTGCCAGAAAGTCCTGCCTCTATCTCCTCCCTTGCTATTGGTCATTCGGCTTTTTATTAGATCAATCAGGTGCCTTAGGCAGGCAAGGTAAAACAGCAACAGGTCTTTACATAGTTAAACAAATATTCCACAACAGAGCAAGATTAAATCCAGTATACATTTGAATGCTCACTATTTTATTTTCTATTACAATGGGTCTAGGTTCAGCATTCTTCCCGTGAAGGTTCTGTGGGGTCTAGCCTGTGAGAAGTCTGAACCCATTCCGGCAGATGTTGGGGTTACTGTATTTGAGAACAGTTCTTGGCCTTTCTCTGGAAACTAATCCATCTCCTTATCTTTGGTCACAGGACAGACATGTGGGGACTGATCTCCAACAACAAGCCCAGATCCAGTCTGCAGAGATCTCCCTTTTAGCCATCCTGGCTGCTGTTCAGGCTGTGGAGAAGAAAACAGAATCCCAGGCTGTCCATCTTCGGAGCCTGGAAATGCGAACAGCGTCAGCTGAGAAGAGGCTGGCCGACTGTGAGAAGACAGCCACGGAGCTCAGCAGCCAGCTGGAGGGCAAGTGGGCTGTGCTGGGGACCCTGCTGCAGGATTATGGGTTGCTGCAGCGGAGGCTGGAGAACCTGGAGAACCAGATGCAAAACCGGAACTCCTGGATCCTGAGGCTGCCGGATAGCAGCAAAGATGAAGCCTCCAAGGTACTCTCAGAGTGAAGGGAGGCCTCCATTGTAGTCACAGTGCACCTTAGGGAGCTTTTTAAAATCAAAAGGCCAGTGAGACATTGGAAAGCTGCCTGCTGAGGCAGTAGAGTGAGTTGTTGGGAAGGATTTGTTTGAGCAGCAGCAGTTGTCTTATCCCAGAATGACCCCCCCCCTTTTTTTTTCTTTTTTTATTTGAAAAGAATTGTTTTTGCCAGGTGGTGGTGGCACACACCTTTAATCACAACACTCGGGAGGTAGGGGCAGGTAGATCTCTGACTTGGTCTACAGAGTGCCAGGATACCAGGGCTACACAGAGAAACCTTAAAAAAAAAAAAAAAGTTTTCATACAATTTGATCATGTTTTCTCCTCCCCCAATTCCTCCCACATCCTTCCTTTCTCCCTACCCACCCAACTTTACAATCTTTTTCTCTCTCTAAAGAACAAAAAAGAAAAGAAAAGAAAGGGAAAAACCAGCTGGGCAGCGGTAGTGTATGCCTTTAATCCTGGCAGAGGTGAGAGTGGTGTACACATAGAGTTCCAGGTCAGGCTCCAATGCTACATGGAGATGCCATGTCTCAAAAAAACAAAGGGAAAAACCCACAAAAATAAAAAAGCAGATACCAAAATATACAAGCAAAACACTAATAAGTCAAAAACATGTCCAAACAAAGCAAAACTAAAGTATGAAAATAGCATTGAGTTTGTGTTGTCCAACTTCTCCTGGACATGGTGCCTGCTGTGACGCGTGGTGAATTTACCCAGTGAGACTCCACTGGGAGAACTGCTTTTCCCTTTGCCATCGGCTGTCAGTTGCAGATAGCTTCTTAGTTAGTGGTGGACTTCCATCCACCTTGAACCTGTACAGGTCATGCGTACGTTGCCAGTCTCTCTGAGTTCGTATGTGCATTAATCTTGCTGTGTCTGGAGGACTCTGTTCCTTAGAGCTGTCCATCACCTCTGGTTCTTACAGTCTTTCTTCCTCCTTTCCCACATCGATCCCTGAGCCTTGAGGGGAGGGGTTGATGAGGACATCCCATTTAGGACTGAGTGTTCCAAAGTCTCACTCTGCACATTGTCCAGTTGTGGGTCTGTTAGTTCCCACCTATTACAGGAAGAAGCTTCTCTGATGATGGCTGAGTGAGGCACTGATCTGCATCTCAGCCTGGTGTAGCCACTGGGGGTCTTTGAGTAGAAAATGTTTGAGTATGGGCAGCTGACACAAAGGAATGGAGATGGGCTAGAAGAGAAGGCCCCAGAATGACTTTGAGAGTGATGACTGGTTCAAGTAAAGGAAACCTACAGAAAGCATCCCCATGCGGTTTGCAGCAGAAGATGCAGGTGTGTACAGGAGCTGGGGGGACGCTTTGCTATGGAAATGTGGTGGGCAGAAGCTAGCATTTGGTCAGTGGTGTCAATTTGAAAGCTGTTTCTGGCTGTTCTCTGAAAGGGTGTGGGATTTGTATTCCTCCAGGTTTCTGTGACAACTGAAGAGGTGACTGGGTGTTCCCCCGAGCAACAGGAAGGCAGCCCCGAAGACTGGCAGAAGGAACTCTGCAAGCATGTAGTAAAAGAGACCCATGAGGTGCTAGGCTCTCTGGGTAAGAGACAACCCCAAGGGCTTCCAAATGTGTTTTTATTCTTTTCCTCAGTGTGTTGAGACAGAGAAGATTGGCCCTCTGTCTTAGAAGCAGGTGGAAGGTACCCTTAATTCCCATCTTTAGAATTAAATATAGATCTGCTTCTATTTTGTATGTATGGGTCATTTTGCCTGCATGTGTGTCTGTGTATCATATGCATGCCTGGTGCCTGCAAAGTCCAGAAGAGGGCATTGGATCCCCTGGAACTAGAGTCATAGGTGGTTGTGAGCTGCTATATATGTGCTCAGAATCTAACCTGGGTCCCAGGAGAGCATTCAGTGCTCTTAACCACTAAGCCATCTCTCTAGCCCCATAGGCATATTTTGTAAAGGTGTCTCAGGTCTGAGAATTGAGGGCTAGCAGTAAACACTAGGTCCTCCAGCCAAGTGTGCAGAAGTGTGTTTTTATGTGAGACTTGATTGGATCTAGAATTTCATGGCTATATCCCCAGCTCTTGCATCATTCTGGGGCTTGCAGAAAGGTTAAATTGCTTATCAGGGCTTCAGTGGAGACACACAGATTAGAATCTACTCCTCACTGTCCCGTTCCTCCCAGTTCATTAGTGTAGAGTAGAGGCTTCCTCTACTTTATGTTTGTTCCCCTAGGACTTCGTTTGTAGCTATGCCTACTCCTAGTCTATCACTGAATTCTGATAATCAGTCCAGGAGCTGTGGAAGGTCAGGGGTGAAGCAGATGAGGCTCTATCTGTGCCGATGGCCCAGCTCTTCACCCTGCTTCCTAAGGGTGTGCTCTCTTCAGGGAAGGAGCCAAGTTTTCGTGGGATGTTTCCCTTCCACACTGTGCCTGGCACACACTAGGTGATAAACAATGAGTACTGGGTCAGAATGAGAGCTCGATTTCCATTCTCTTTTGGGTAATATCACCAAGCTCGAATGGAGATTGCAAAGCTGTTTTCTTTCCTTTGCTTTCCAGCTGCTAGAAATTAAACCTTGTGAATTCTAGGGGAGCCCCCTCCCACTGAGGTACAGCTCCAGCCTTGTTTCCCTATCTGACAGGACCTTACTATAACCCAGGCTGGCATGGAAGTTACTGGGTAGCTCCAGCTGGCCTTGAACTTGTGCCTCTGGAGTATTGGTATTTTAAGTGTGAACCACCCTGGCGTTTTGAAAGGTGAAGAAACCCTTAGTTAAAAAATGAAAGACAACAGAAGAAGGGACCACTCTTAATTGAAAGGGGATAGATTCCCTGTTTGCTCAGAACACAAAAATTAACCAAGGTACCACCATTCCGAGAGCATGCTCGCGTGTGTGTGCACATGTGCCTACTCATCTCTATGTGTATGTGGGGGCACCACACATGTGATGTTAGATCCCCTAGAAATAGACTTAAGAGTCAGTGCTAAGCATCCTCATGTAGGTACTAGGAACCAAACCCAGGTTTTCTGTAAGAACCCGTTCTCAAGGCACTTTTCCTTGTTTTTAGATTTTTACTATATTTGAGGAGATAAGCCCTCATTTGAAGGGGTCTCTTTGGGTAGATTAATTAAGGATGAACACATTGAATGGTTGGAAAGTTGCACTGAGATTAAAAGTATTTTGGGGTCCCTGCAGGAGTGGTGATACCACAGAGAGGGCAGAGTGCCAGGATACAGAAATCAGCCTATAGTCCTGGGGGAGGTATAAAGGGCCAGGAGGGCTTGCTTAGTGAATGGTATCTTCCCCTTCCTGTGGTACAGTGAAGGGACCTGGAGCCCCATGGTAGGTGTGGTCAGGAAGCAGACACAAATCTGAGGCTGAACTTGGCTAGTATGTCCCTGGAGGTGCAGCTTTGGCATGCTCTGGAATGTGGTGTCCTTAGGGGACTTAGGGCTGCCTAGCCTTGGATAGTCCTTGCTGTCTTAGCAGTCACCCATCCTCTGTTAGTTTCTCCACTGTCATTTGGTGTAAGTTTGCTTTATTTTCTAGAAGGTTCCAAAGGCAGCTAGCTCTTCTCAGGTGCCTCCAGAACAATGGAATGCTGACCCTGCATTTCCAGATCAAAACCTAGAACAATACTGAGTATGTGGTTGGTAGCTAGATAGCTTAAATGGTCTCCACTTTTTTTTTTTAAGTTTTTAACATTTATTGGGGTGAGAGGAATGCATGATGTGTTGTGGCTGTGGTTTAGAGATTGGCACAGACTAGTGAGGTCACTTGGCCCTTGAAGGACACCTACCCTAGGGTACTGTGTTATCTAGGCTGCCAGACAGAGACTGATAAAATCTGCACCCAAATACTGCAGTAACAGCTTAGACAAGATGGTTTCTCACTCCTGACAGGCTTGTTTGGCAGCTCAAGTTGTCACAGATTCAAGTGCCTTTCAACTTGTTGCTCTGTCTTTCCTAGGGAGTAGCCTTGCCCACTACAGTTCAAGGTAACAGTTAGGAAGCAAGTAGAAGCTGGGCATGGTGGTTCATACCTTTAATCCCATCACTCAGGAGGCAGAAGCAGGGGGAACTTTGTGAGTTAGAGGCCAGCCTGGTCAACATAGTGAGACTCTGTCTCAAAACAAAACAAAACAAACAAAAAAAACTAGTAAGAGCTGGGTGTAGTGGCACACACCTTTAGTCCCAGCCTGACCTACAAAGCAGGTTACAGGACAGTCAGAGCCACTTAGAGAAACCCTGTTTTGAAAAACAAGGAAAAGCTAGTAGAAGGGAAAGGTTTGCCCTTTTCTCTTGTGGTATAATACATTTATTTCCAATTTAACAAGCAAAGTTAGTGCTTATGTACTATAAATATTGATCCATCTAAATCTCTTGTAGGTTTTTGTCTTTTTGTATGCATTGATGAAAATACTAAGCCACAGAAAGGCTAGGTAAACTATCAGAGATTATGTAGCTGGAAAAGTCTGAGCCTTTATTTACATCCTGTTATCTGCTTGAAGAAGTGTTCTAGAAACATGGACTGTATTCTGGGCCCAGCCAAACTCCAGCTGTTCTTTACTACAGAAAGAGGGGTGTAGTGTTAAAAGGCTGCTGGCCCTTGGTCATAGGCCACTGGTCTCCTGACAGTCTTACCAGAAAGTCCAGTATGCACTTGTTCTGCCTTTGCTGGGTTGTGTGGTTCTGTTGAGTTTCTTGTGGTCACTGGTCCTGGATAGAGACTACAGGAAAGAGGCCATGAATCTGATTCCCCTGGGGCTTCTTCTCCTTTCCTTAGGAACAGGCCAGCTGGAATCTGCCCCGAGTGTTCTTCCCTGGATCAAACAAGAGGAAGAAGCATACGAGAAGAACCTTCGGGAGACAACCCATGCATATCTATGCTCAGGTCAGGCCCAGGGACAGGTTGCATATCTGGGTCTCTGAACATCTCCAGAGGGGTCTTCTGTATTTGTGTCTGGAAATGGCAGTGAGCAAGTATCCTGTTTTGTGCTGTGTTTGCTGTGGACATCCTCCCACAGAGTTATCTGAAACTCATTTTGTTCCCACAGTATCCTGGCTTTGCTTTATGAGCTATAGCTGGCACGGTGCTAGGTGGGCACTTCAAGGGCTGACAGATGGATAGGACACAATTCCCCATCCCCACAGGGACTTTTCAGTTAAGAGAAAGTCAGCCACAAATTAACAGTACAACATAAGAAGAGGAAACCATGTCTAAGCCAGACCCTTTGAGAATGATAAAAGTTGTGGACACTCTCCTCAGAAGGCACACTTAGAATGTATTTACAGGTGAAGGCCTTCTGTAATCAGGATGTGGTGGGTGTGGTGGCTATCTCATTCATGGTCTTGGTGGCACAGATCAGGGCTGTCGGGAGCTGGTCTTGGAAGGCTGTTGAAGAGACAGTAAGCAGGGGCACACAGCTTAGCTGCAAGGGCATTCAGATGACATGCAGATGGTAGAATGTGGGCCTCTGGCAGAAGGCACGTGGGAGTCAGGTAGGTTAGGCCCAGAATGAGGGCCTTCAATGACAAGCTCATGTGAGCCTCAGGACTTCCACACCAAAGAACAGAGGGATCAGGTGGCCTAGCCGCAGAGCCTGTGGCAGAGATGACTTATTGCTTCTCTCCTCCCAGCAGAAACCTGGCTAGCTAACAAGAACAGGAACCTGGAAGGAGAGTCTGTGGTACAGGAGCCAGCCTGGGCAACTGAAGGGAGACCCCACAAAGAGGACCTTGAGAGAAGAACCTGTGGGGATCTGCTCCCTGTCTTCAAAGAGAAAGAGGTGTCTTCCCTCCCCCAAGGCTCTCAGAGTCAACCTGAGTCAACTGAGGCCACTGACAATGGCCCGAACTTCATTGTCAAAGAGCTCAGCACTGAGCACGAGCACCCACACCATGGATCTCAGCCCTTTGCCAGTCTCCAGTGCCCCCAGAGTGCCACACAGCAGGTCACTCTTACCAGGAACCGTTGTGCACCCACAGCCCCTCGTGCCTACACCTGTGTCCAGTGTGGCAAGAGCTTTGTCCACCAGTCAACACTTACCACACACTACCGCACACACACCGGAGAGAAGCCTTACAAATGTGCTGAGTGTGAGAAGCGATTTGGCCGCCTGTCCACACTGCTGGAGCACCAGCGCACCCACACTGGAGAGCGGCCCTTCCCATGTGCACAGTGTGGCCGCCGTTTCGGGCGCCTGTCCACACTGGTGGAACATAGGCGCACACACACGGGTGAGAAACCATTTCCATGCACCCAGTGTGACAAGCGTTTCACACGCCTGGCCAACTTGACAGTGCACCAGAGTGTGCATTCAGGTGAGCACGCTTTCCAGTGTACCCAGTGTGGCTCATGCTTCACGCACAAGCCCAGTTTCCTACGACATCTACGCAGCCACTCTCAGGAGAAGCGCTTTACCTGTGGCCAGTGTGGCAAGAGCTTCACCTGTCGCTCCTGGCTGGTGCGCCACCAGGGTAGTCACGCCCGCTCAGCCTCCTCTGCTTATGTGGCTTGTGAGAAGAGCTCACCAAGCTGTGAGTCATCTGCAAGTCTCCTTAAAGGTGCAGCCAGGGGAAAGTTTTCCAGTGAGCCTTCTGCCTCACTCAGATCCAAGGACAATAAGACCAGTCAGGACCACAAGGCATATGGCAGAGGTCAGCAGCTCAGTGACCATGGCCAGGAAGGTCTGATGGGGTCTCTGCATAGTTGTCTGTCTGTAAAGATGGAGAATGCAGGTTAGCACCCAGAGAATTCCCTAGTGAGGCCACACGAGGCTTCTGGGTCCCTTTGATCCAAGCTGTCTCTCCTAAGGTGCACTTTCTTGGTTCAGATGTGTGGTACCTGCCATCTGCTAGACTTCCCAGGGAAAGGTTTTCTCCCGTGGACTGCAGGTGCTAAGTGGCCCTGAGATTCTTACTGCAGGGAATGTTCCTCCACCATAAGTTGTTGCAGAAACAGAGTTGAAGGGAAGAATGAAACATGAGTGTATCTGCCAGCAGCAGCAGAGTCCTCTGAGATCCTGGTGGCTCCTATCACCATCTCAGCAGTTTAGGAAGCAACATGGGCTTTTCACCCTTCAAAGTGGCTGGCCAGTTAGGAATGCTACAATTTTGAAAAGTTGAGTTACTCTGCTTCTGTCTGAGCAACTCAAGCTAATTTCCAAGATTTCCCTAGGACAGGGCTGGGAATGCGACTGAACCGAGTGTTCATCTAGCAGGCATGGATGCAGTCGTGGTTAGATCCCCAGCATCAAATTATACTGGCCATGGTGGTCATGTACATACCTGTAATCCTGGCATTCCTGTTGATGCAAGAGGATCAGAAGTTCAAGGTCAGTTTGGCTACATGTGTCCCTGTTTACATAAAATACCCTTTGGGAGTTCAAAGCTCTAATAGATGCCAACTCCCCCATCTCTCTCATCATCCAATAACTGCATGCACATTCCCAAGGACTCTCACTGGAGGGGCTGGGACTCTGTGTCCCCACTTTGGAGGAATGTGGATAGACAGAGCTGTGCTGCTTGCTGTGCCCTCTGGGCTGTGTCTGCATCTGGGAGTGGTTTTTACTGAAAATCTGGGATTTCCCATACTCAAAACCTATAAATAAAGGTATTTATGAAGCACTATAAACTTCCCTTCTTGCCCTGATGACCCACCAAAATTGGTTTGTTTTGCAGTAGTAATATTTGGCTCCAGATTTGGGTAATAGTAATGAGTTATTTTCAACTGTGTGTCCACATTGAAGTTCTGAAAGAAAAATGATGCAAAACACCAGAGAGGCAGTTGGGGTGGGGCAGGCTGATTTTGCCTGGAGGGCACTGTGTCTAGGCCATAGCAAGCACACCTGCCTGCAACTCTAGCCCTCTTCTGGCCTCGATGGACACATACATACAGGAAGCATATGTTCACATAGACATGTACACACAAAAGCTTAGAAAGCAGTGTCTGTGGAATGGGTGGTAAGTGCCTTTTCACAAGGAGGCACCACACACAATTCACATTCCCCATCTCAGTATTTATACTTTGACTTTCATTAATCCTGAGGTCTATTGATTGTAAGGCACACATTTATTTTCTGCTTCTATAAGCAAAGGAAATCTGTAGCGGTCATTATGACTTACCAATGCAAGATGTTAAGTGTAGCCATGTTTTTTGCTTTGCTTTTTCGAGACAGGGTTTCTCTGTATTGCTCTGGAGGCTACCCTGGAACTTACTCTGGAGACCACGCTGGCCTCGAACTCACAAAGATCTACCTGCCTCTGCCTCCCTAGTGCTGGGATTAAAGGCGTGCTCCACAAAGTAGTCATGTTTTTAATTTGAGCAAAAATGTCAGGTTCTCTTGGGTAGGTCCTGACCAGCAAATGTCTCCCCCTTTCCAGGTGCTAGTGGCAATTGGTATCCCTCTTCCTCAGCCTTTTACATAACACATACCCCCTACACTCAGAGCATGGACTCTCATAGCAGACCCCAGTGCGATTATTTCAAAACTCCCACAGGAGCCAGGCATGGTGGCACACACTGGAGGGGCAGAAGCAGGCCAGTCTCTGAGTTCAAGGCCAACATGGTCTACAAATCAAGTTGCAGAACAGCCATGCTGTTTTACAGAGAAAACCCTGTCCCGAAGAGCAAACCACAAAAACTCTCCTATAGCATGGAAAGGACTCCTTAATGAACAAATACCTCTGTAAACCCCAACTCCCCAGCTGTCTGTTTCACGCTAGGACAAAGACTTTGCAACTAGGTCTGTTGTGCAGTGTTTTTATCAGGGAAGCAAGCTCTTTTCAAACACCATCAGGGTGAACACACTATGGGTAAGGCTTGGGCCTGTATCTGGTTGCATAATCTTGTAGGGTAATCCTATGAGAGCTGGGAATGGAGTTGGGCAGAATATTTGTCTAGCATAAATGAAGCTGTGGGCTTGATGCCGAGTGCCATATGAACTGGTGACAATGGCATATACCCATAATCCCAGCAGTTGGTATGTGGGCAGAATTATCAGTTCAAGTTCATCCTTGGTTACCTAGGGAATTCAAGGCCAGCCTGGGCTACTTGAAACTCTGGCTTCAAAAAGTCTTGAAGCCAGCCTGGACTACATAGTTAGACCATCCCAGAAAAGAAAAGAAAAAGTCTTAATGGGAACTGAATGTTTAAAAAGTGGAAGTGCCTGGGGATAGGTGGCAGGAAAGAAAATGTAGTCCTGCGCATATCAAGATGTTAAACTTTGGGGATCTGTGAAGAGAACAGGTCCAGTGTCTGAAGCTGGTGATCTACCTAGAAATGAGGAAGCCCTGTGCAGCCAGCTCTCACTGCCCTGGACAAAGGCCAACCCAGCTGCCTTGCTTGCCTCACCGTGATGGACCCCACGTTCTTACACTGTGAAATAAATAGATCCTTCCATTGACTGCATCTGTAGACGTTCTGCCAGAGTATCACAAAAATAGCTACTGCATTCCCCCTCTGCTCTCTTGTTACTTAGATATTCTGAGACCAGGCTAGCTCCTGTCTCGGCCTGTGAGTGGTAGGGTTACAGTGTGAGGGACCATGCTGGAACTGTCCACTCTGGCCCTTCCTGTTTCCCTTATTCTGCCTTATGTTTCTTCATAGCTCTTTGTCTAACCTACAATCATTTGATTACCTTCCTCCATGACAAAATACAAAAGACTAGAACTTTTTGTTCCTGAACAAAACTGCCTGGCATGCCTTAGATGATCACCATGTATTTCAATGAGTGTATAGATAATTAAAAGTGTTGTCAAAGCACTGAGCATGGTGGCACGTGCCTTTAATACCAGAATTCCAGAGGCTGAGGCAGGTGGATCTTTGTGAGTTTAAGGCAGCCTGCTCTACCTATTGCATTCCAGGCCACCTAGAGCTACACAACAAGACCTTGTCTCAAAAAACTATGAAAACTGCCAAAGCCAAGATAGACATTTGGGGTGATTATAAACAGAAAAATTGTATTTCAAAAGAAAGCTATAATATATCTTTTATTCAATCATAGCTCATTATTCTCAAGTTATTTTAATTCATCTAGTTTCTTCTAATATTTGTTTACAAGTCTCATCCTCTGTTGTCATCTGGTTGGCTTAGTTGGTTAACTTAAGGCTTGAGTTCATAATTGGAAACCATTATACAAACAAGGATTGTCAAAATAGTGTTACAAAGTCCCTTTTTTAGATACCTGTTACCCATCAAATTTCTATAGAAATGCAATTAACTGAATAATGTTGGTTCAGTGCTTTGAAATGATTTCAGCATCTATGGAGCAGTGGAGCTGACTGAGGACCATTTCTTTTAAACCTTGCTGCTCAGAAATGGCCAAGGGAGTCCTGATGGGCTGGAGAGATAGCAGTGGTTAAAATTTTTCAGATGGATCTGGGTTTGATTCTCAGCACCCGTGCACATGGCTGCTCACACCTCATCTGTGACTCCAGTCTCCAGTTCCAGGGGATCTGGTGCTCTTTCTGGCTTCTGTAGGCACCAGGCACGTTAGTGGTGCATGGTATACATTCAGACAAAACACCCATAAACATAAAAATATTTTCTTAAAAAGGGTCTTAAAACTGATGGTAAACACCTTTAATCTCAGCACTCAGAAGGCAGAGACACGTTTGTCTCTTGGGTTCAAGGCCAGCCTGATCTATAACGGGAGTTCCAGAGCAGCCAGGACTTCAGCAAGACCCTGTCTTCAACATCCCGTAGACATTCCTGAGTGCAGAGGCTGAGAACTGCTCGGTTGTCTACACGATTGTCCCTCATTATTTTAATAATATTTGCTGATCCTGAGTGACATGCTAGTCTCTGTACTAAATAATGGAGCAAAACAGGTCACTGAGGCATGGTGGTGGTCCTCATTCGGGAAAGCGTGGAGGGACAGAGGCAGATACCAAAGCCCTACTTAGACCTGGTCCATTGGGGTATTCTGTAAATATCAAAGGGCTACACTAGTATTACAAACAGTATGTCCACAAATTTAACTCGATGTGCCTGGAATTGTAAATATGAATCATTTTTCCTTTTTTCTCTTCAGTGTCAGCATCAAACCCTATGTCTCACATGTAAGGTTGATTGACTACCACTAGCCTGGACCACCAGTGCCAGTCTTTTTTGGGGGGCTGGAAAGATGGCTCAGTGGTTAAGAGCACTGGTTGCTCTTTCAGAGGACCTGGGTTCAGTTCCCACCACCCACTTGGCAGCTCACAACTGTGTGTAACTCAGATTTTGGTGGATTCAACTCCCTCACAGAGACATACATTCAGGTCAAACACCAATGCACATAAAAAAAGTGAGATGTCTTTGCATTAAAATTTTTTCTCAGTGATGGGGATCAAATTTAGGGCCTTAGGTATATTTGGCAAGCACTACTACTGAGCTACATCCCTAGCTCCTAAATCCTCTTTACCTATATTTTATAATAACACACAAGCAACTGGGTTTAAAAACTATATTAGTCTTACCTTTAAAACATGTTTTGGCCATTTCAATAGCTCAATGAGCAGAGGCAATTGCTACCCTACCACATAAGCCTGATGACTTGAGTTGGATTCCTGGAATCCACATAAAGATGGATAGAAACAACTGTAATGTTGTTCTCTGTCCTTTGCCCATGTGTCATGGCATGCAGGATCCCCTATCATACTCTCACAAACACACCTTTTAAAATGTGTGTGGGGTGCATGCATTTGAGTGTGTGGGTAAATGTGCCTGAATGTAGTGGCCTGAGTAGGAATAAGGTGTTTTCTTCTTGCCTCTCTGCCTTGCCTTGAGATGGAGTAGTTCATTAAACCAGAAACTTGCTGTTTCTAATAAGTTCTTGGGGTCCCGCTATCTCCAACCCTCAAGGTTGGTTTACAGGCACATGTAGCCATTGTTAGCTTATGTTGTTTTTGGGGATTCAAAGTGCTAGGATCATGAACTTAGGTCCTCATGCTTGTGCTCTTATTCTCTGAACCATTTCCCCAGTCCCAGTTTTAATGGTGTGTGTGGGGTGTGTGTGTGTTTCCAGGATGATCTTGAACTCCTAGACACAAGTGACCCTCCTGTCTTGGCCTCCCATGTGGGTGTCAATACAGACAAATGCTACTGCCACTATGACTGGCTCTACCTTGCTGTCTATTTTGAAACAGGGTCTGCTGTAGCCCAGGCTAGTCCTGGGTTCACTATATAATTAAGGATGACCCTAGGTCTGATGTAGCCCAGGCTAGTCCTGGGTTCACCATATGATTAAGGATGACCCTGGGTCTGATGTAGCCAACGCTAGCCCTGAGTTCACTATATAATTAAGGATGACCCTGGGTCTTATGTAGCCCAGGCCAGCCCTGAGTTCACTATATAATTAAGGATGACCCTGAAATCTTGATTTCTCCGCTTACACCTGCCTAGTTCTGGGATTATAGGCATGTGTCACCTAGAGCTTCATGAATGCTGGGCAATCGCTCTACCAACTGAGCTATACCCACAGTTATTTATATTTTATGTTAAGAGAATGTGCATGTTTGTGTGGGAACACAGATGACCAATGGGGAAAGAACAGAGGTGAAAGGGACAAGGTATTGCCATAGCACACAAAAGACAATTCCTGGACTATGTTAAAGCTTTGTCTTTTTTTTTTTTTTACATCTTC